TGCATAGAACACTGGCCCTGAAGTCAGGAGGACCTGAGTTCAAATCCGGCCTCAGACACATGACAATTACTAGCCCTGGGACTCTGGGCAAGTCACTTAACCCCAATTGCCTCACCCCGCCCCCAAAAAAAAGAGAGAGAGAGAGATGCATTCTGGGAGGGGAAGGGGGGAAAGGAGGCTTTGGGTGATGTGAAAAAAAGATAATACAAGCAATCTTTTTAAAAAATACTTTTGTTTCATCCTTCTCAATTGCAGCCTCAATCCAGCAATGGCGAGCAGAGGGCAGAGTAGCCATCTGGCTGCACGTCCCCATCTTCCAAAGCCAGTTTATAAGCCCAGCGGCTTCCCTGGGCCTTCGCTTTCACCATGCAGAGGCTGATGCATCTCTGATGACCCTGTGGCTGGGGGAAGGGCCCAGCCGCTTGCCGGGCTATGCCACCCATCAAGTAGGAGTAGCAGGTCAGTGCCCAAGCCAGCAATCTCCCCAAATTCATATCTTGTAGAATCTGGTAAACTGGAAGTCCACCCGATTTCTTGCATCTGAGAGCTAAGATTACCCAGTGAATCCCCATTCAGGGAACAGTTCTCAGAGTGCAGGAGACCTTAACAGAGATTTCCTCCACATTAGAGAAGCGGTGTGCTGTGTGCAAAGACCAGTGGGTATGAGGTCCGAAGTCCTGGGTCCAAATCCTGGCAGGACAACGGAAAAAATGCTAGGCTTGGAATCAAAGGACTGGCCTTCACATCCTGACTTTGCCACTTCAGTCAATCAATAAGCATTTATTAAGCGCCTGCTGTGTTATAGACACTGTGCTGAGCACTGGGAATCCAAAAAGAGGCAAAAGACAGGCCCTGTCCTCAAGGAGCTCACAATCTAATGGGGGACACAACAAGCAAACAGAGATAAATATTATATTAATCTATTATATTTCAAGGCATTATTGTAAGACTATACTGGGCAGCTAGGTGGCACCATAGTGTTTAGAGTGTCAGGCAATAAGACTCATCTTCCTGCATTCAAATCCAGCCTCAGACACTTACTATCTGTGTGACCCTAGGCAAGTCATTTAACCCTTTTTGCCTCAGTTTCCTCATCTGTAAAATGAGTTGCAGAAGGAAAAGGCAAACCATTCCCATATCTTTGCTAAGAAAACCTCAGATGGGGTTGCGAAGAATCAGACATAATTCAATGACAACAGAATATATGTTAGAATATAAAAATATAATATATTATAAAATATTATGTTGTATAATGTATATCATTATCTAATTATATATTATGTTATGTTCATAATAATAATATTATTATGTTATAATTATATATGTTTGCTTGTTGTCTCCCCCATTAGTGTGTGTGTGTGTGTGTGTGTGTGTGTGTGTGTGTGTGTGTGTGTACAAGGAAGATATACATGGGATAAATGGGAAATGATTAACAGAGAAGGTGCTAGAAAAGAAGGCGCTCAAAATCTATGTGCCCTTTGGCAAGTTTCTCAACCTCTCTGGGCCTCACCTTGTCATCCGTACAATGAGGGATTGGACGAGGTGTCCTGTGAGGTCCTTGCTGGCTCTAAATCTGTGATCCTGCCTCTGTGACCTTGGGCAAGTCAACTCAGAAGTCCCTTCCGCTTTAAATCTATGGTCCTGTGATCCCTGTGGCCTCCAGTGACAGGGACCCGAGGCAGCTAGGTAGCACAGTGAGTAAGACAACTAGATATGGATTCAGGAAGACCCGAGTTCAAATTCAGCCGTGTGACCCTGCCCAAACTATCTGCCTCAGTTTTCTCAACTGCTAAATGGGGATAGTAACAGCACCTACCTCCCAGGGTTGTTGGGAGGATCAAATGAGATAATATTTGTAAAGGGCTCAGCACAGTGCCTGGCACACAGTAGGCACTTAATAGTAGGCTCACTAACTTCCTGAGGTAGCCATTGTACTTTGGAGAGCATCGATTGTTAGGAAATCTTTTCTTACTGTGAGACAGAAAAATGAATCTAATCCCCCTTCTATATGCCTCTTTCAGATGTTTAAAGGCATCCTCCCACCCCCATTCCACCCCCTTATTAAGTCTCTTTTCCAGGCAAAACTTATCTAGTTCCTCCAGCCAGTCCTCATATGGCATGAAATTCCCTTACCATCCTGTTTGGCTGCAAATCTCTTCCTAACCTGCCCAGTCTTCTTCTACCTTCTACCCTCCCCAATGTACTCGGTGACCCATGATACTGGCCTCTGCCTGGCCATCGAACGAGACAGTGCCATCTCTCGAGTCTGGGCCTGGAATGCTCTCAGTCCTCATCTCTTCTTTCCTGGCATAACAAAAGTCTTTTCCCCATAGACTCAGGTCAGATCTAAAAAAGGGGGCGGGCAGGGGATGGGACAAGAGAAGCCTGCCACGAGCATCCTTCTGTTTTCTGAGTACCAGGAGCATTCTGTTTGTTTCCTGCACCAACCAGCAGAGGGCAGCATGGAGTCAAGGGACATGGTTGAATATGCTTCCCATGAGAAACCTGCCTCCTTCAAATACCAGGCGTTAAATTGGGTATGGGAGAGCTTCCCTGCGCCAGACATGGGATTCCCTGGGCTTACAGTTCATCCATTCAAAGAAGAGGGGCAGGCAGCTTTCAGTTTTTAAATTTTATTTAATTTTTGATTTATGGAATGAAACAAGAATTTCTATATAACATGGTGCAATAAAAAAAGGTGATTGTACATGAAGCTGCAAATCTTCTCATACACGACTTGCTATTCCTTTCAAATATACAACAAAATTATCATGTAAATTTCTTTTTTTCTTCCCTACCCCCTCCCTAGAGATGACTACCATTAGACACAAGTAGGTAGATATGTGTGTGTGGGGGGTGTACATATATTTATGTATGTATGTATGTATATGTATGTATGTATTTGTCTATATTTATATGTATATATATGTAAAATAATTCTATATATACTTCTATTTATCAATTCTTTCTCTGGATGTAGATAGCATCTTTCTTCGTATGTCCTTTGTAGTTAATTTGGGTATTTATATAATAAACAGGCAGCTTTTAAAATTGTACAGAAGGCAAAGAAAACCACTCCACCCTCTCTTTATAAGTGATTTTAGACCCAGCTTTTTCAATAAATTTGTATTCTATTATTGCATCAAACTGGGATTTTTAGGGATGCCCTAATTAAAGCACATCATAACTAAGGAGAGGTTCACCACCTATTTCAGTCACCCAGATCTCCAAGACCCTCTAATTTATGAAGAAATCATGAGCAGTATCAGTAGAGAGAGAATGGGATCACAGATACAGAGCTAAAAGGGACCTTAGAAGGTGAGCTAGTCCAACCTCCTGATTTTACATTTGAGGAAACTGAGGCCTCTAGGGAAGGAAAGTGACTTGCCCAAGACGACACAGGTAATAGGTACCCGAGGCAGGATTTGAACCCAGGTACTCTGACTTGAAATAGACTATTTTTGCCATTTACTCTGGATAAGGCATTTGCCTTCTCAGTCATCTAAGCAGCTCTCTAAAAATGGAAGCTTCAAAGAAGGTGCTGTCCTACATGGGTAGGGAAATTTCTTCATCCACAAGCTCCCTCTCTCTGTTAATCACCAGTATCATTTATTCCTGTTACCCAGTTACACTCAGAAATGAGGAGCAGCTAGGTGACTCAGTGCATAAAGCACCAGACCCAGAATCATTAAGACACATCTTCATGAGTTCAAATCCAGCCTCAGACACTCACTAGCCGTGTGACCCTGAGGGTGCAGGAATGACTTCCAGTCAATCCCTATTGCTATTAAAAGCCTCATTAAAACCAGACTTTCCCTCTGAGAAGGAAACTTTGATTTTCTTTCTCCTTTTCCCTTCTTTGATTCTGGCAGGCCGTTGGAAGCACTAAGACAAGTGGTAACCTATGAGAATTTTGTAACATGATATCTGTGTGCCTAATGCCTACAACCATGTATTTGGGAGGAGGAAGAAACTAGGCATTAATATGTTAATGAAATATAAAAACATGTCCATATCCTGTTAACCCTTTACAAAGTAAGAAATTCTCCCTGATGAAATTAGAAAGGAAGCTGTCAATGAACAAGGTCAAAGATTGACCATTGCCCCAATAGCCCTTACAAAACAAGCGTGTCACCCCTGAGCACCAGGCAAAGAATTTGAGACTTGAACAGCTGTGGAGTTCAAGACAGGAGAAGCTTCAAGGAGTGTGACCCCCGGAAGCAGAGAAGAGAGCCAACCACTAATTCAGAAGAAGACTAGCCCTGGCAGTAGGTAGTTGAGCTGTAAAGAGCAGGCTCGGGGAGCTTGGCTGAATGACCCTTCCAGCAGAGATGTTTCATCTAGAGTGGAGCAGCGTGAGGACCCTGAGAGCAAAAAAGACATCAGGATGCTATAGCCACACATAAATTATCTTCGTCACATGTGTACTTCATAGCCAAGGTACAGCTAGGTCACGATTAGTGTGAGTGATGAATCCTTTGAAGTAGTCTCATTATTTGAATTCACCCTGCATATTTCCCCATTGGTCCGGAACCAATTACCATATTTTCCGTAATCGTAACTTTGAAAAGTGCAAATTCAAATATATGATCACTTCCCAGGTTTCATTATTCACACTAATCGGATCCTAGCTGTAATCTAAATTGTTGCTCACTCTTCTCTCTAGTGCTTTGCAGTTTTGTGGGCCAGTATGTTTCAAATTTGGAAGGGAGAAGGGCAGGGAAAGAGAATGTCTCGTAGCTATTGTTCTAATTATGCCATCTTACTAAATATTTTTGCTTTGAGCTAATTGTATCTTCTGGCTGCCTATCGAAGAGAAGCTCACCAGTGGGGGCTCGTAAGCTATAGGTTTAAAAGTATGAAACCCCAGAGTATCTTTGCCTCTTTTTTTTTTGTAGGCAATTGGGGTTAAGTGACTTGCCCAGGGTCACACAGCTAGTAAGTGTCAAGTGTCTGAGGCCGGATTTGAACTCAGGTTGTACTGACTTCAGGGCCAGTGCTCTATCCACTGCTCCACCTGGCTGCCCCAACCCTAGAACATCCTTTGCAACATAGGAGAGTAGTCATTCTTCTGGGGACTCAACCTATAAACCCAGGAGTATGGACTTGGGAGGTAGCCCAGAAAGGGTGCTACATGTATACTGTTTGTCAAGGTAGTAGCAGAATTCTATTTGTGTTCTTTTTTCCCCCTTCAGTGTATTTTTAAACTGTCTTATTGGTGCTTTTCAAAAATGCCTTATCAAGGGGCAGCTAGATGGCATAGTGGATAGAGCTCTGGCCTTGGAGTTAGGAACACCTGAGTTCAAATCCGGCCTCAAACACTTAACACTTATTAGCTGTGTGACCTTGGGCAAGTCACTTAATCCTGATTGCCTCACCAAGGAAAAAAAAATGCTTTATCATTAACTCAGCTTCCTACTATCCCCAAACTCTGAGCAGAAGACCTCTCTTTTAACAAA